GGGGCAGGCATACATAGCTGGAAAGAAAGACAAAGGTTCTCCTTTGTCTTTCTTTCCAGCTATGTATGCCTGCCCCTCTCACTTTACCCTTCTGTGTTCTTTCTCCAGTGACCTTGAGGTTCTGCACATTATTTCTTAAATCATTTCTCTCTTCTCTTGTCAACCTCTTCTTTCCTATTCCCATCAATCCTCTGCATCTTTGTAATTTTTCAGGATGTGATGTCCTTTTTGTTGGCAGTGGGAGCTGTAAAACCAGTCTGTCACCCCACTTGGGGCTTTTATTTCAGTCTTCCTGTCATCCCCATGAAGTAAGGGGTTTGTTGCTCTGTCATTGACTTGTCATTTCTGAATCACTTTCTTGTTGTTCCTCGATTTCAGATAGACAACCTTCTCAGTCTGTGTTTAGCCCTTTCTCCCAGGCTATGTTTAAACAAGGCACACATTTCAAATGCCCTCCTTCACATTCCCATTTGTCCCGTGTCCTGTCATTCCTTCAGTTTGTTATCTGGGCTGGCTGGTCTAACTTTCTCAGTCCATTTTGTCATCCACTCAGTTTCTTGTCCACCATGGAGGTTTTGATATCGAAGACACTTCTCTCTCAAATTTGGCTACTCTTGCTTCTCCCTGAGCTCTGATTCCAATCATTCATTGAATGGGATCTGGGGATCATTGGAACATATACTGTGATCCATTATCCACCCTTGTGTCCCTACCTTTCTTTCTTTCTACATCCCTCTGTTGTATACCACTACCCCCCCCCCCCCAATCTGATTTGACTCTTTTCAGGGGCTGGTGTTCAAAGAGGTGTTCTTTGCATATCAATTTTCTTGAGATGCCTGCAGCTCATCAGCTTGCCCTCTTCTTCTGTTGCAGTTGTCTGGTCATCTTTTGATTATCCACTTGGACAACTGTACAGTTGTTACTTCAGTCGGCCACAAGGGAGGCACCAACTCTTGGGACCTGTGACCTTTGGTGAAAATGAAAAGAAATCTGTAACATACATATAGAATCATTATATAGTTGGTTCACTGTATAATATTGAATAATAAATTAGGCACAATGCCTTAATATTATTCACACCTAAATTAATTTAGATTAGTATATGGTGAACCAAAAAGGACTAAAAAATCCCATAAATTTAATATTGTGCATACACTATTGTTACATCTCCGTTTGTTAATTGATTTTCCATAACTTCGTTCTGACGAAACTTTAGCGATACAAGTCCTTACTTAATAAAACTGGTTTATTCTTTCTGAATACAACTTTACGATACACTTATTTTCAACAGTCGCTCTATAACAAATGCTATATCAACGAACGTCAACAATACTTCTGACTGCAGTTCAATTACTCACTATCTACACACACACATTATTGTCCCGTCACGTTGTCACCCTCTT